TTTAAGAGTAGACTTGAGTAGATACACATGAATTGCTGAACTTGACATTAACTGAGAATTAGAAATTAGGTCATAGGTCCCTCTTCAGCTTTCCATTAGCCTACTAAATCATGTTTCACCACCTAGATATTCACCTGTGACCTTATAAAATATAATGAATCCCCTGGGTATTGGCAGTATATTTGGCCTGGGTCAGAGGACTATGCAACTTATTGCTGAAAACAGTTGCTCCACCAGCCCAATGATTTCTTTCTCTTGTCTGGAAATGTAGGGGCTGCATAAGGGGTCTGGGTAACGTTAAACCATATAAGGACTCTTTGCCAAATGGGAAGTGGCTTGGGAGTTTCCCTCACCCAAGGACAGCAGGCTACTATAGTTCTCTGGTATCACATTCCCATACAAGATCTTCTGAGCATTGTCCAGGTCCTGTTGCTCCTCCTGGCTGAAGCCCACAGTCAAAACCTGTAACAGCACATGTCTCCAAAAGACATCAGCTCTGAGTCAAAAAAAAAAGAGAGCTACTTTCATTTCTGCGTCTACTATGCTTCCCACATGAGAAGCTAGTTTTTGTGTGCTATATGTCAACAGAAAAGTGAGAATAAAAACACATTACCTGTATATTAACTTTGTAATTACAAAATTTACTATACTCTAGTTACTCATATTATAAGGGCCTGAAAGCCCAGCAAGAACAAGATGAGTAAAATTCTGATTCTGTAAGGAAATCACAATGTAATCTGTAGGCATGTATATACATATCTAATTGAAAAGTGTTAGCTCAAGTGAGACAGATGTTCAAAGTAGATCAGGGTAACAAGGTTTTTAAAAATAAATTTGGGAGCCGGTGCCGCGGTTCACTAGGCTAATCCTTGACCTTGTGGCGCCGGCACACCGGGTTCTAGTCCCGGTCAGGGCGCAGGATTCTGTCCCGGTTGCCCCTTTTCCAGGCCAGCTCTCTGCTGTGGCCAGGGAGTGCAGTGGAGGATGGCCCAAATGCTTGGGCCCTGCACCCCAGGGAGACCAGGATAAGCACCTGGCTCCTGTCTATGGAACAGCGCGGTGCGCCAGCCGCAGCACGGTGGCCGTGGCAGCCATTGGAGGGTGAACCAACGCAAAAGGAAGACCTTTCTCTCTGTCTCTCTCACTGTCCACTCTGCCTGTCAATTAATTAATTAATTAATTAAAAATAAATTTGGGGAGGATGACATTGTAGCATTTTAAGTAAGGTCACTACCTATGATGCCAGCATATAATATGGACACCTATAACCTAATCCCAATTTAATTCCTCCTGAATATTCTCTTTTTAATGGTAGATTTAAAGGATTTTTTTTTTATCATTCCTTTGGATAATGCTGACTGTGAAAAATTTACCTAAATAATACCTGGGGTTTTGGTGGCAGGACCTCAGATTTGCCTTTTCATCTTCAATGTCAAAATAGATCACTTACTCTTTTGGGTTGTTTATTTATTTATTTATTTATTTATTTTGACAGGCAGAGTGGATACTGAAGAGAGAGACAAAGAGAAAGGTCTTCCTTTGCCATTGGTTCACCCATGGGGTGCAGGGCCCAAGCACTTGGGCCATCCTCCACTGCACTCCCTGGCCACAGCAGAGAGCTGGCCTGGAAGAGGGGCAACCGGGACAGAATCCGGAGCCCCAACCGGGACCAGAACCCGGTGTGCCGGTGCCGCAAGGCGGAGGATTAGCCTATTGAGCCACGGCACTGGCCTCTTTTGGGTCTTAACCTAATTGATATCTATCTTCCCTTTTCAAAACAGGAAGAGAAAAATTAGATAGGAAGATGAGCAGTCGGAACAAAAACAGGAACCCATATCAGAGGTAGGCACCACATCACCAGCCCCCAGATTTGCATTTAAGACAAACTCTGGAAGGAGAATGGAGAGAAAGAAAGGAAGAATTGGATAAGAAATCAGAAAGAAATATCATCACTAACCATTAAACATAGAGTATTAAGAATAGAGAACACAAGAGATAGGAAGCACAAACACAATTCAGCACCAATGGGTTGTGTGGAGGGTTAAAATGAGTTCAAGTCCATGATGTGTGCATGAAAGACTGCATGGACATGGCACAAGAAATTGAAATTGGGGAAAAAAATCAACAAGAATATGATGGAAAGAAGTGAGACTGAACTTGGACACATTGTGTTTGAATTTTCTGTTGTTAATTGTGTTGGGATCAGCAACTGGCAACTAGAAATACAATGTAGAGCTCAGTAGAGACCAAAGCAGCAGAATTTCAGTGAATAGAGTGAATGAAATATCCTAAAGAAAAAGATCAAAGAATGCAGAAAAGGAGAGAGAAGGGGATCTGAAGAAACCTTGTACCTACTGGAATAGGAAGGGAAGAACATAATAAGAAAAGGACAGGAGAGAAGGAATATTGATGTTTATACCGGGGATAATAAAAATCTCAATGTTAAAAAAAATCTCTGCCTCTTGGGTCCAGTAGTGTGGTGCATCAGGTGAATGCTCAGGCCTGAAGCACCAGCATCACATATGGGTGCCAGTTCTAGACCCAGCTGCTCCACTTCTGATCCAGCTCTCTGCTATGGCCTGGAAAAGCAGTAGAAGATGGCCCAAGTCCTTGGGCCCCTGCACCTGCATGGGAGATCTGGAAGAAGCTCCTGGCTCTTGCTTAGGATGGGCCCAGCTCGGGCAGTTGTGCCCAATTGGGGAGTGAACCAATGGATGGAAGACCTCTTTCTCTCTGCCTCTCCTCTCTCTGTGTTACTCTTTCAAATAAATAAATAAATCTTAAAAAAAAATCTGCCTCTCCAGTGTAACACTCACTTTCAAATAAATAATAAATAAATCTTTTTTAAAAAAGGAAATTATGGCATATGTACTCCACATAATATTAACAGAGATTAAAAAATAAAATCCTGTTATTTGCAACAAAATGCATGAAACTGGAAAACATCACACTTAACCATATGTTCTCCCTGATCTGTGATAACTAGTAGAGCACCTAAAGGTAATTATAGAATTGAAATTGACAATTTGAGAAGAAATAACTTTGAACAGCCTTTCTCAACTATTGAACAGTTTTTTCATATTATTTGTTTAACTCTTTAATTAATATAGTTAATCATGTGTATAAAGTTAATTGCAAATAGATCTTAGTAAAAAATAAGAATGGGAATAGGAGAGGGAGGAAGAAGAGGTGTGAGAGTGTGGTGGGAGGGTGAGCATGGTGGGAAGAATCACTATGTTCTTAACATCATAATTATGAAATGCATGAAGTTTGCATTCCTTAAATATAAAGTTGCTGAGAAAAAAGATATAAGCTTAAGGAGCATTCCAGAAAAATTTTAATTTTGATTATTTCGGTAAAGGATATTAGGCAGTAATATTTAAAATGAAAGAATGAATTATGTGTTTTTAATCTTATTTATTTTTAATGATTAACTAACTTCTTTTGAAAGACATAGTTTTGAGAGACTGAAGACAGAAATAGATCTGCCATCAGTTGCCCCGCTCCCTAAATGGGTGTAACAGCTAGAGCTGAACCAGACTGAAATCAGGAGCCAGAAGCTTCGTCTGGTCTCACACATAGGTGAAACCCAGTGCAGGTGCCCAAGCACTTGGACTATGTCGCTCCCCGTCTTCGTGGAGGAGCAACACAGGACCCTGCGCTGTTCTTTCGTCTGCTCGGCCCTCCCCGGGTTTGCTGCTGGTTCTTCCCGGGTTGGGTACTATCCCTTCCACCTCTGTGGAAGGGCAGTTCCCCCTGGCCACATTCCCCACTTCCGCAGGGGAGCGGCACTCCGCCGGCCGGCTCTCTCGGGGGCTGCACAGGTGTTCCTTCAGCTAGATGTTCCCCATAGATGTTCCCTATAGATGTTCCTGGTGAATGCCGTCTCTCTCCTCCTTTATAGTCCTCCTCCGCCAATCCTAACTCGGCTGCCCACACGCCGAGCACGCCGCTCTCCTCCAATCAGGAGCAGCTCCTGCAGCTTGTCAAGTTGGTGAGAGGCAGCTGGGTAGAAGCTGTTTACTCCTCTCCCAGCGCCATATTGTGGGAGAGCAGATGCATAGAATAAGTCTTAATTCCAGTAACAGTCTAGTCCGAGTTGCTCCCCACAGATCCCCCTTTCTTTTTATTTTTTGGCGTTGATACGCGCCTGTCTTCGGTGTCCCGCGGCACACACTCTGCTCTACTTGATAGAGTTGCCACAGGCTCTTACAAGTCCTATCAATCAGGCAAACCAAATCCGGGTCCTCTCTTGGCCATGTTGTGAGGAGGTTTTTAGGCGCTGATGCGTGCCTGTGTTCGGTGCCCTGCAGCGCATGCTCTGCTCTGCCTGCAGGGGCTTACAAGCCCTATCAGGCAAACTGAATCCAAGCCTTCTCATTGCCTTTTTGTGGGGAGGCCTTACTGATGTTAATTCGTGCCTGTCTTCGGTGACCTGCGGCGCATAAGCTGCTAGCCGCCGCAGGTGCTCATCGTGCTCATCGCCTCACTTAATCAGGCAGACCGAATCCAAGCTCTCACATTGCAGTGTTGTAGGGAGGCCTTTCTATTTCTCTATTTCTCTATCTCCGGGCATTCCTATTTCTCCCATTTTACTTCTATCTTCCAGCATTCCTATTTCTCTCATCTTACTTCTAAACTTCTGTTTCTCTTATCCCCGCAGCTTCCCGCTGCCCGCCCCGAGGCTGCTTCTCGGCGGCTTCCCGGCTGAGCCACTTCAGCCCGCGCCTCTCTCATCTGCGCAGCTTCCCGGCTTTGCGCGGCTTGGCTTCGCGCGCTCTGCGGTCTCCACGCCCTTCGCGTCTGCACCACGGCCTCACGCCAGCCCCGTTCCCTATCTATTCACGCCCCGTGCTCTCTCTGCACGCGGCGGCTTCCGCGAGTAACACAGCGTAGCTTACGTGTCCGCCACTAGCATTCAATCTAAGTTCCCCGGGCTAGCCTGGCGAATTCAACCCAGCATACGTCTCCGCCCCACGGTTTGGCTTCCTGTCCTTTGCTCCCCGGGCTAATCAGACGGATCCCAATCTGGCTTACGTTTCAGCTTCTGGTTTCAACCTTTCGCCCCCTATTCCCGGGCTAACTTGAGAATCCCAAAATGGCTTCCGTTTCCGCCTTGGCCTGCCCCCCGCGGCTTCAATTTCCCTAACATTTTCTCTACCCGGTATGTTTCCCCAAGCTTTCCTCCAACAATACTCCTCCCTCATTTCTCCTGGCCTCTCCCCACAGTCCGCATCCGAGTCTGTTTGTTCTAGCTTTCACTTTCGCTTTCGACCTTAGAGATTTCTCCCAGCTTCCCCTCGTAGTCCGTATCTGAGTCTACGCCTAGGCTTTCAATAGCTTCTTCCGGCACCCTTTTCGTCCGGCTTTTCCCTAGGCTGTTTGCTAGTCTCTCTCTCCGATATTTTCCCAGTTCTTCCCGTTTCTTCCCTCCTAAGTTTGCTATCCGTTCTAGGTTTCCTATCCGAGCTAGGTTTCCTATCCGAGTCACGGCACCATTATGTCGCTCCCCCTCTTCATGGAGGAACGACACTAAACCCTGCCTAGGCTTCATATCCGAGTCACGGCACCATTATGTCGCTCCCCGTCTTCGTGGAGGAGCAACACAGGACCCTGCGCTGTTCTTTCGTCTGCTCGGCCCTCCCTGGGTTTGCTGCTGGTTCTTCCCGGGTTGGGTACTATCCCTTCCACCTCCGTGGAAGGGCAGTTCCCCCTGGCCACATTCCCCACTTCCACAGGGGAGCGGCACACCGCCGGCCGGCTCTCTCGGGGGCTGCACAGGTGTTCCTTCAGCTAGATGTTCCCCATAGATATTCCCTATAGATGTTCCTGGTGAATGCCGTCTCTCTCCTCCTTTATAGTCCTCCTCCGCCAATCCTAACTCGGCTGCCCACACGCTGAGCACGCCGCTCTCCTCCAATCAGGAGCAGCTCCTGCAGCTTGTCAAGTTGGTGAGAGGCAGCTGGGTAGAAGCTGTTTACTCCTCTCCCAGCGCCATATTGTGGGAGAGCAGATGCATAGAATAAGTCTTAATTCCAGTAACAGTCTAGTCCGAGTTGCTCCCCACAGACTAACTTCTTTTTTTTTTTTTTTTTTTTTTTTTGACAGGCAGAGTGGACAGTGAGAGAGAGAGACAGAGAGAAAGGTCTTCCTTTTGCCGTTGGTTCACCCTCCAAGGGCCGCCAATGGTGTGCTGCAGCTGGCGCACTGCGCTGATCCAATGGCAGGAGCCAGGTGCTTCTCCTGGTCTCCTATGGGGTGCAGGGCCCAAGCACTTGGGCCATCCTCCACTGCACTCCCTGGCCACAACAGAGAGCTGGCCTGGAAGAGGGGCAACCGGGACAGAATCTGGTGCCCCAACTGGGACTAGAACCCGGTGTGCCGGTGCCACAAGGTGGAGGATTAACCTAGTGAGCCATGGCGCCGGTGGACTAACTTCTGCTGCTTGCACAGGTATGCTAAACAGGGAGCTGGATTGGAAATGGAGCAACCAGGAAACAAACCAAAATCCTTAAGGGATGCTGGCATCCTAGGCAGCTGTTTAACCCACTATACCACAATGTCACAATGTCAGCCCCAGGTTTTCATTTTAGATTTGAGCAGCTTGAGGTGCCATTTGGATGGCTATAAGGAAACACTCAACAGGGAGTAAATATAGTGGTCTACATGCTGTGCAAGAAGCCCAAGCTGGAGATACAGATGTGTCAGATGATATAGGGTCAACCTGTCAAGGTGAATTGCAGAATGCAATCAATAGGACACCAGTAAAAAGAGAAGAAACTTTCAGTGATGTCATGATACAAACAGGTTAACTTCCAGGAGAAGGCGTGCAGCAGTTTCTATCATGGCAAGGGAAAAGAGTCATTTAGCCTAATGCCCTGGTCCCACAGCAGCATTTCCAGCTGTGCTTTCAGGGCTGGCTCCTAATTTTAGATTTTGCAAATCTAGACACTAGAAGTCAGTGTTGACAACTCTAGAATGTAGGCTTCTCAACTCAAGTGAGAGGCCAGGACTACATTCCTGGTTCTCACCTATGACCCTGTCTCAGCCCTGCCTGCTGTGGGTGTTTGGAGTGTAAATCAGTTGACTGAAAGTCACGGTCTCTCTCTCAGTGCCAGTGTTGTGGCATAGTATGCTATATGTCCACTTATGGTGCCACCATCACATACGGGCACCAGTTTGTGTTCTGCATGTTTTTCTTCTTCTTCTCCTTCTTAGTAGAGTTACAGAGAGGGAGAAACAGAGAAGTCTTCCACCCACTGGTTCACTCTCAAAATGGTCACAAAGAACTGGAGCTGGGGCACCAGCTGTAGCGGCCATTTCGGGGGTGAAGCAACGGAAGGAAAACTTTTCTCTCTGTCTCTCACTGTCTAACTCTCCCTGTCAAAAAAATAAAATAAAATAAAATAAACTACAATGTGAAAGAAGCTGAGGAATAAATAACTTACTGGCAATAAATTCATTTTTGTTTGTCTCAGGTACATGTAGATGTCTCCAGGATCTTATCTGAAAGAGAAGAGAAATTATTCAGAGAGAGTGGTGAGACAAATAGTCTAGATTCTTCCTAAAGTCTACTGTGCTAGCAATATCATGAAGGAAATGCATATAGACAAATGGGCATATAAGCTGGGCAACAAAAATAAACTACCCTCCCTATGGGGGAATATAGGCTTTACACATGGGAAGAGCAGAAAAGACCCTGAAAGAGCACACACAACTCTACCAATCAGTCAGGTTAATATTTTTGTTGGGCTAATTAAAATATTAATTTGTTACCAATTCTGTAAAAAACATCAATGCCAGGGCCATCACTGTGGAGTAGTGGGTAAAGCTTCCTGCTGCAGTGTGGGCATCTCATATGGGCACCAATTCCAGTACACCTGCTCCACTTCTGATCTAGCTCTCTTCTATGGACTGGGAAAGCAATGGATGAAAACCCAAGTCCTGGGGCCAGCACCGTGGCACACTGGGTTAATCCTCTGCCTGTGGGACCGGCATCCCACATGGGCACTGGTTCTAGTCCCGGTTGCTTCTCTTCCAGTACAGCTCTCTGCTATGGCCTGGGAGGGCAGTGGATGGCCCAGGTACTTGGGTCCCTGCACCCATGTGGGAGACCAGAAAGGGTCACCTGGCTCCTGTCTTCAGATTGGCAGAGTTCCAGCTATGGTGGCCATTTGCGGGGTGAATCAATGGAAGGAAGACCTTTCTCTTTGTCTTTGTCTCTCTCTCTCATGGTCTATAACTCTACCTGTCAAATAAAAAAAAAAAAAAAAAGAAGAGAAGACCCAAATCCTTGGGTCCCTTGCACCAACATGGGAGACTTGGAAAAATCTCCAGGCTCCTGGCTTCAGATTGGCCCAGCCTCAGCCAATGAGGCCATTTGGGGAGTGATCAGCAGATGGAAAACCATCTCTCTTTCTGTCTCTGTCTCTCTGTAACAGCCTCTCAAATACATAAATAAATCATAAAAAAATCAATGTCACTGCCTAACTAATTTATAGTATTCATCAGGATTGTCCAATTAATTAGCAGTACACCAAAAAGAAACCTGCTTTCATTAGTATCTATATTACACAGAAAATTACTCAGGCCATACTAACTGTTTCCCTTACAACATCTCTTGCTTTTATGTAACTAAACTTTCATTAAAGTATGCAGCTTAAAAATTAGTTTTTGGCCACAATCTTATGTATAGGAAAAATTGACATAATATATCCATAACAGCTTTCTTTAACTGTTCTATGACAAGCCTCTCTGTATACAAACCTTGATATAATTCTTCTCCACAGGGACCCCTGACATTTTCCAGTTCACTTTTGTTCTAGCCCATGAGACAACAGTATATATGATACCAACATAATTTGAAAAGTATTTTACCTTTGGGAGTTTCCTTTCTTGTGCAGTAATCATATGGAAAATCCTGAGACTTTCCTGTTGGACACATAGGGCCTAGGTCACAGGCTGCACAAACCAGACATTGGAAGAGTAGGCATCATGATACACTAGGTTAAGCTACTTCTCTGGACATACCACATATATATCAGAGTGCTTGGTGTGTGTCCTGGCTATTCCACACCTCCAAACCAACTTACTGTAAGTATTTTTTTAAAGTTATTTTTTGAAAGTTTTAGTTATTGATTTGAAATGCATAGTTACAGAGACACAGAGACAGAGAGAGGTCTTCCATCTGCTGGTTCACTCCCCAGGTGGCTGCAATGGCTAGAGCTACACTGATCCAAAACCAGGAGCCAGGAGCTTCTTCCAGGTCTCCCACACAGGTGCAAGGGCCAAAGGACTTGGACCATCTTCTACTTTCTCAGGCCATAACAGAGAGCTGGATTGCAATTGGGCAGCCAGAACTCAAAATGATGCCCATATGGATTGCTGGCACTGCAGGTGGTGACTTTACCCACACCACAGCACTGGCCCCAAGTGTTCTTTTGAGTCAACAGATCATGGCTCAAAAACTTGGATTTCTGCCATCTGCATGGAAACCAACATGGAGTCCCTACCTCCTGGCTTTCATAGATAGAACCCTGGCTGTTGTGGGCTTTTGCAGAGTGATCAGGCAGCCTTGGTTGGCAATGTTCAGATTTTTAAATATTTCACTTTTCTAGATTTTTGAGTCAGTATTCTGAGTCCTATTGCTTCTTTATTACCAAGAATTCCAAGACCTAACTCAGTATGGGTGCTATGTATAGCATAATGTGAGAGTTAAGATGAGATGAGAGAACTCCCAACATTGTATCTAGGTAGCATACCTTAGAAATAGTGGCAGTCTGTAAAAGTTGCAAATCTACCTACCAGAGTGGTGGGACAGTTAAGGGATTTTAATAATTTCCCAAAATTTAATAAAAGGAAAAATGGTAACATGGTAAGGGCTGGCTTCCCATGATTCCTAACCATCTTCATCTTTCTGCACTACACACCCTCACCCATCACCCTCATCCATCCATGATCCATGCCCACCCTGCAATGGCTTGCCTGGGCCGCAGCTCGGTGCCCAGCCACGCCTGTGGGAGGGAGCTCCAATAGGAGAATAGCAGCTGTAGGCACCTGATCGCAGCTGGGGGAGGGGACATGGATAGCAGAGCACCACCACTCCAGTGGGCCCTGTGGGTGCTTGCCTGGGCCAAGGGTAGAGACTAAGCCCCGACCTCCCTGTCCCCAGTTTGGGGCCAACCAGAGTACACCTGTGAAATGCATGTCAGTAGAGAAGAATTGTGGTTACCAGCGAGTGAGGGGGAGAAATGGTGGATTAAGGACAAAGGGGATACATTGGTCATGGGGTACAAAGTTTCCAGTGGACAGGAGAAACAAGTCTACAGCTATACTGCAAAGCATGGAACTACAATGCTGTATTTCAAGTTAAGAGAGGCTTTTGAAAGTACTCACCATACAGTGTAGGAAGTGATGAATGAATTATTCTGATTAGACAATTCCAGAATTAACACTCATCGGATGATCACATTGTACCCCACAGATATCTACAGCTATTTCTCAGTTGAATAGTTTAAAAAGGCAAAGATTACCAGGCTACACTAAAAAAGCTAGGAACAATACAATGTGTATTAATATAAAGAGAAATGTTTAATGATTTCACAGTAAGACAAAAATGAATCTTAAAGATTTGTTAAATTGAAAGGCAGAGTTAGAGAGAAGAGATATAGATCTTCCATCTACTGGTTCACTCTCCAGATGGCTGCAACACAGAGCTGTGCCAATTCAAAGCCAGGAGGCAGGGGCTTATTCTGGGTGTCACATGTGGGTGCAGGTGTCCAAGTACTTGGGTCATCTTCTGTTGCATTTCCAGGTACATTAGCCAGGAGCTGGATGGGAAATGGTGCAGCTGGGACTTGAACCTGGGCCTGTATGGGATGCCAGTGCTGTAAGCTGCAGTTTATCTTTGTTTAACACAGCAGTGGCCCCCAAAAAAAAAAAAAAAAAAAAAAAAAAGGGATACAAAGAGTTCAAAAGCTGAATGATGAAAACAATACATATAGAAGGGGCTGGGGCCATGGCTTAGAGGGTAAAGCCATCCACCTGCAGTGTTGGAATTCCACAAGGGCACCACTTCAAGTCCCACCTCCAGTGCCGGCATCCCATATGGGCACCGGTTTGAATCCCGATCGCTCCACTTCCAATCTAGCTCTGTTGTGCCCTGGAAAAGCAATAGAAGATGGCCCAAGTCTTTGGGCCCCTGCACCTATGTGGGGGACCTGGAAGAAGCTCCTGGCTCTGGATCGGCAGAGCTCTAGCTGTTGCAGCCAACTGGGGAGTGAACCATTGGATAGAAGACCTCTCTCTCTCTCTCTCTGCCTCTCTTTCTCTCTGTGTGTAACTGACTTTTAAATAGAAAAATAAATTCTTAAAAAAACAAATGTGTAACTGTTCATATAGATAGGCTCAAAGGGATCACATAAATAAGATCAAGTGTATACTAATAACAATAGAATTAAAAAGGAGAGAATGATCCAACATGGGAAGCAGGCCACACAGCAGACTTATAGAATGACAAATGCCCTAAACAGCACATTGACATCAGAATCAGCTTTAAGTCCTTTGGATCTAGCTAAAAATCCCATGAGAGCATTTTAGGCATGGAAAGCCAAGAACTGTAGCAAAAAAAAAAAAAAAAAAAAAAAAAAAATCTACATAAATGATCTCTGTGAGTGAGACCCCAGTGGAAAGAAGAGGACATCAAAGGAGGTACCTTTTTCAGAAGGCTAGAGAGAACTTTACACTTTTTTTTATGGCCCTGTCTACATACTAACAGAGTTTGTGGACTCAAAAGGCTTCCATAGCCTTGGCAGCTCATGACAAGAGTCTCAGGTGATCATTGACACCATAAATAAGTGTCAATTGTTAAATCAACAATAGGAGTCACTGTGTACTTACTCCCTATGTAGGACCTCTGTCCTTAAAGAGTTGTGCTATGAGAATTAACAGTAAAACTCATCTTCAAAAGTACTTTAGACATTGTGTGTCTCTGCAAACTGTTGAAATCTTTACTTAGTATAGAGTTGGCCTTCTGTATATAAATATAATTAAAAATGAATCTTTATGAAGAATGGGATAGCAGAGGGAGTAGAAGGTTGGGACAGGAGTGAGGATGGGAGGGTGGGAAGGGGGGAAGAACTGCTATATTCCTAAAGCTGTACCTATGAAATGTGTATTCATTAAATGAAAGCTTTCTAAAAGAAAAAGAGCCAAGAATGAGCCAAGTATCTGGAGCCCTGCTATCCATGGTACAAACCTGGCTTGAGTTCTAAGTGCTAGGCCTTAGGCTAGTGGCGTCCAGGTATTGCGGTAGCTGGAGAAAGCCAGTTGATAGGAGATCCCTGTGCTTCTCTCTCCCTTTTGCTCTGTTTCTTAGTTCCTCAAATAAAAAAAATAAAATATTTACAACTCTGGAAACCAAAACCAGAAGGATATTAGAGAATTCTTCAAACTTGTAATAAATAAGAATCATATTCCCAAATGGACAGTGAGTTATTGAAGAAACCACATGGGAAATTCAGAAATAAGATGATTAGAATCAAAGTACACCACAAATTAATGGAAAAATGCAAAGCAAGGCTTGGGAGGAAATAGCTGTAAAGATCTATATTTCATAATAAGATATGAAATCAATTATCTACAATTCTACCTGAAGAAACTAAAAAAAAAAAAAAAAAAAAAAGGCAGAGAAAACTGGAGCCAAAAAAGGCAGAAGAAACAAAGAGTGGAGTAGGGTGGAGAAAGGAATGTGTGGTGCTCCCCACTTTGTGTAGGAAAGACACAGTGCTGTGATTCTGGCACATAGCAAGGGATGCATGCTTCTCCCACCAAGAGCCTACAGCCTCTGCACCGTGATATGAAGCTACCCAGATGTAAATAATCAAGCCCTCTTATTATCCTAGGCTTCCAAGGTAAACATTTTAACATTTTTTATTAACATTTTTAACATTTATTTATTTATTTTAAAGGCAGAGTTACAGAAAGAGAAAACAAAAGAGACCTTCAATCTGTTGGTTCACTTCCCCAGTGGCCACCACTACAGGGATGGGCCAGGCTGAAGCCACAGATAGAAGCTTCATCCTTGTCTCCTACAGGGCTACAGAGACCCAAGGACTTGGGCCATCCTCTCCTGCTTTCCCAGGTGCATTAGCTAGGAGATGGATCAGAATTGGGCCACGAGGAATCAGACCAGTGCCCATTTCAGTTGCTGCTGTCACTGGCAGCAGCTTAACCTGCTATGCCACAATGTCATAAAGATAAGCATTTCTAACTCAGGCCACAATAAAGGAGGAGAAAATAGCTTACAGGAGATGACTAGAAATTTGAAAGGAGTCAATCAAATGGAAATTTAAAAAAGCTGCAGTTCAGAAGATGATTGAAAATGTTATTAGAGGTTGCCCTCATTGTGGCATAAAATGTTAAATAAACCTCCCCCTTCAGTGCTGGCATCACATATGGCCACTGATTCAAATCAAGTCCTGGCTGCTCCACTTCTGATCCAACTCTCTGGGGTGGTCTGGAAAAGCAGTAGAAGATGGCTGAAGCCCTTGGGCCTCTGCACCCATGTGGGAGACCCTGAAGAAGCTGCTGGCTACTGGCTTCGGATTGGCCCAGCTCAGGCCATTATGGCCATTTGGGGAGTGAACCAGTGGATGGAAAACCTCTCTACCCATGCCTCTCTGTAATACTGCTTTTCAAATAAATAAATAAATCATTTTAAAAAATAGAACAATGTTTTAACTAAGACATAAAAAACCCACAAATTTCACCAGTTCATTGACTCTCCTATGATTACTTTTTCTCTTTTGATCTCCATTAGCAGTTTCACAATTCTGTTTTATTTTTCAGAATTCTAGAAATTCATGGTTACCCCATTGATCTTCCATAAGAACCCCATATTTATAATTAATTTTAATGGTCTTATAAATATAAATCTTCCTGGAGAAGAACTAGAACAGTGAATGACAAAGACAAAATCATCACAATTGAAATTTTTAAAGTAATTTAGCAAAGGAGATGCCCACAGGATTTGAAAAGCACAGCAGTATCTTACAAACCAGTTCATCATTTCAGTCATTGATAGCACTGGAGCAATTTCAAAATTCTTCTAAAGTACCCAAGGAACCCTCCTCCCCTTTTTTAATAACAGCAGCTTGTAATATTTCACCATTGGACTTCTCAATGTTACATAACCCCTGGAAAACTTACATCAATAACATTTCTATATCAATGTAACAACCTAAAATTTATGATATTGCAACTAGATAATACTTTTCATGTAAAGTGAGCCTAATTAGCCATCATCTCTGCAAGTTGAAAACTACATCTTTTGTTGATTTCCAGGGATCCACAAAGAAATCAAGGGCAAAGCAGTTAATTTAGAACTTTGATTTTGAAAAAAATGTCAAAGATATCAAAAATTTAAAAATACTTGGTTAACATAGGATCTCTGATCATTATGAGACAATAATCATTCACTTATATAGAGTCAAATTATGTTTAAATATATTTTACATATTAAGTATATTTAATATTTGATTACTAGAAATATACACTTAAAAGATATTAAAAATCAACTCTTAACATTCAGTTTTCTAAACCCAAAGATAGAAAATACATGAGATTATCTTGACAAAACACAAAATTTCTTTCCCTCATGTAATTAGTTACCAAAAGATAAAGAAAATCCTTTTGTACTGTGCTTCTTCTAGTGGGAAGTTCCCCCAGATAACTTAGAAGTTAAACCTAATGGAAGGGTACCCAAACTTAGACACTGAAATAGTATGTGTGGAGGCTGTAAGCATTCAACCTTATAAAAGAATGAGAACACTTAGAAACAAGTACACCTGAGGCCGGTGCTTTGGCACTGCAGGTAAAGCCACTGCCTGCAGTACTGGCATCCCATAGGGGGTCAGTTTAAGTCCTGACTGCTCTACTTCTGATCCAGCTCTCTGCTATGGCCTGGAAAAGCAGTAGATGGCCCAAGTAGTTGGCCTCTCTGCACTAGTGTTGGAGACCCAAAGGAAGATGTTCCTGGCTCCTGGATTCAGATTGGCATAACTCCAGCCATTGCAGCCTTTTGGGGAGTGAACCAGCAGATGGAAGACCTCTCTCTAACTCTCTCTCTGCCTCTCTGTAACTCTGCCTTTCAAATAAATACATAAATCTTTAACAAAAAAGACAATAACATATCTTAGAAACAAAAGCATAAAAATCCATAGAACAGTTTAAATACATCTAGAAAAGTCAAGTATAGTGGCCAGTGTTGTGGCATGTTGTGTAAAGCCAGCCCCTGTGACACAGGCATCCCATCCTACATGGGCACTTGTCCAGTCCTGATTATTCCATTTCAGATCCAGATCCCTGCTAATGTGCCAAGGAAAATAATGAAAAATGGCCAAGTCCTTGGGCCCCTGCCACCCATGTGTGAAACCCAGAAGAAGCTCCTGGCTCCTGGCCATTGTGGCTCAGGTCCAGCCATTGTGGTCATCTGGGGAATGAACCAGTAGACCAAAGATCTCTGTCTCTTCTCTCTCTTTGTGAACTCTGGCTTACAAATGAAAAAATCTTTAAAAAAAAATTAGGTACTCTTAGTATCCTAGTCTTCTAAGATAAGCATTTCTCTTTAAGACTAATTAATTTCAAAGGTAGAGTTACAGAGAGAGAACAGAGAGAGAGAGAAAGATCTTCCATCTGCTAGTTCATTAGCCAAATGGCCACTACAACCAGAACTGGGCCAGGCAGAAGCCACTGCCAGGAGACTCATCCAGGTCTCCCACATGGGTTCAGGGTCCCAAGGACTTGGGCCATCCTCTCCTGTTTTCCCAGGTGCATTAGCTAGGAGATGAATCAGAAGTGGGCCACGAGGAATCAAACCAGTGCCCATATGGGTTGCTGCCATCACAGGCAGCATCTTAACCCGCTGTACCACAATGTCAGCTGTAAAGACAAGCATTTCTCATGACAGGCCATAACTAAACAATAAAGGAGGAGAAAATAGCTTATAAGAGATGGCTAGTTGTTGGAAAGGAGTCAATCAAATGGAAATTTTAAAAAATTGCAGTTGAGGAGAGGGTTGAAATGTTATTAGAGGGGCCAGGCACTATAGCGTAGTAGTCTAATCCTAGAAAAGCAGTTGGTGGCTCACTTGGTTAACCCTCCACTTTGAGTGCTGGCAACCCATATGGGTGCTGGGTATAGTCCCAGTTGCTCCTCTTCCAGTCCAGCTCTCTTCTGTGGCCCAGGAAGGCAGTGGAGGATGGCCCAAGTGTGTGGACCCCTGCACCCACGTGGGAGACCTGGGAGACAGGGAGGAAACACCTGGCTCCTGGCTTTGGATCCACACAGCACTGGCTGTAGCAGCCATTTGGGGGTGAAGCAATGGAAGGAAGACCTTTCTGTCTCTCACTGTCTAACTCTGTCAAATAAATAAGAAAAATAAAAAACAAGAAGTTGCAGTTGATTAGATGGTTGAAAATGTTATTTAGAGGGCATTGTAGGCTAATCCTAAGCAGTGCAAGGTGTGCTTGAGCATGGGGGATCTGCAAGAAGCTCCTGCCTCCTGTTCTGGATTGGCTCAGCTCCAGCCATTGTGGGTATTTGAAGAGTGAACTAGTAGATGGAAGACATTTCACTCTCTCTCCCTCTCTCTACCTCTCTCAAAATTTTTAAAAGTTATTAGACTGGGGCAGGCACTGTGGCATAGAAGGTCAAGCCTCCACCTCAGTGCCAGCATCTTATATGGGTACCAGCTCAGTTGAATCCCAGCTGCTCCACTTCCAATCCAGCTCTTTACTAATGCACCTGGGCAAAGCAGAGAAATGTGGTACTTGAGCCCCTGAACCTGTATGGGAGACCCAGAAGAAGCTCCTGGCTCCTGCCTACTGGCTCCTGCCTGACCCAAACCCCAGTCATTTGGGTAGTGTCATTGGATGGAAGATCTCTTTCTTTCCCTCTTTCTCTCTTTGTATCTCTTCCTTTCAAATACATAAATGTGTTGTAGAAAGTTATTAGACTTTAAAATCAAATATGAAAAACCTCTTGCACAAATCATTAATATTTATATTTTTGTAAAAAAATTTACTAACTTAATGTAGGGTATAAACCCTAGTTTTATTTATTTGAAAGAATTCCAAAAAAATAAAGACAATGAGAAAGTGATCATCTGGATCACTTCCCAACTGACTGCAACAGCCAGAGCTGGGACAGATTGAAGAAGCCAGAAGCCAGGGAAGTCCATGTGGTTCTCCCACATGTGTGGCAGGGGTCCCAGCACTTGAGCCATCTTCTGCTATCCCAGGCACATTCGCAGGGTGCTGGATTAGAAGTGCAGCAGTCTGGACTCAAAGAAGCACTCTTATGGGATGCAGGTATGATAGACTGCACTTCACCTATGATGCTGGCTGTACCTTGAACATTTTTAATGTCAGGGCTGGAATAGTGATGTTGTGGGGAAGGCCACCACCTGTGATGCTGGCATCCATATGGTCACATGTCACAGCTGCTCTACTTCAGATCAAGCTCCCTGCTAATGGCCAGGGAAGAGCAGAGGAAAATGCACAAGTGTTTAGATCCCTGCCACAGATGTAGGAGACCTGAATGGTGCTCCAGGCTCCTGCCTTCAGTCTGGCCCAGTGCTTGCTTGCTGCAGACGTCTGGGATTGAACCAGTAGATGGAAGATGTCTGTCTCTTTCTACCTCTCTAACTCAGCCTTTCAAATACATAAATAAAACTTTAAAGAATTCTAAATTTTGGTATGTTGATTTAGAATTATTTTTATTGGGGCCAGCACTGTGGCATAGTAGGTTAAACCTCCACCTGCAGTGCTGGCATTTTGTAAGAGCACTGGTTCAAAATGCCCTAGAAAAGCAGTGGAGGATGGCACAAATCCTTTGGCCTCTGCACCCATGTGGGAGACTTGGATGAGGGTCCTAGCTCTTGGCTTCAGATTAGCAAAATCCAGCCATTGCAGCCCTCTGGGGAGTGAATCTGTGGATGGAGGACCTCTCTCTCTCTCTCTCTCTCTCTCTCTGTTATTCTGCTTTGCAAATACTTAAATAAATAAATCTTAAAAAAATATTTCTTATCCTTGATAACTTGATTTTTTTTACTTTGAACTTTTATTTGGCAAAGCAGCACTGCATAAACTGTGCAGTAACAAAGACAGTTTACACAGAATGTTAAATTCATATACATTATTAGCAAATTAAACAAACAAAAAAACCCTAAGCTACAAATCCCCTATCACTTTTAGAGAGAAAGAATGAACTCTGTCAGTTATGTCCAATCTTAACAGCAGTGTCTACAGCACATCACCTGCCATTTTAAGTTTCAGTACTTACAGATGCCTACTTGGAAGGTAACAAAGCAGTTGACTGTATCTACAACATGCTATTCTGTGACACCACCTCAAAAGCTTTAAAAAGAAAGCTCATCTCTACTTTCTTAGTAGCATCTAACAGATATCCAAATACCAAGAATCTTAACTTGTGAATGGTGGTGTTATCTGATACACAGAAGAAATTTGATATATTAACATCAGAACAAAATTAAGTGTCCATGAAAAGGAAAGCCACTCCTCAAAATCAGTCATAAACTAAAATTTTCGATTTTGCAGAAGCCCTATTTTCCTATTTTAAACTGTGGGCATGTGAAAGAAGTAACACACACATTCCTATTCTGCAGCCTTCCTCTGCCAGTCAGGCTCTCTGCCTCTTTGAGGAATAAGAAACCCCTACCAAACCACACATTTTCATGCTGAAAATAACAGTGTGATGAAGTCCAAGTGAGCTGTGATGCTGTTGGTTTCCAAACAGCATCAAAAAGCTTTAGGGCCTGAGATGAACAATCCACTGAAATATCATGGGCTGGTCAAGCTGATGGTCTTAGAGTTCATTCCCTGCACATGTGGAAGAAAAGAGCAGAAAATAAAATCACTCCCACCTAGACCATTGTTTTTATCTGTTAAAGGCACATATACCACCCCTACCAAAGGCTTCATTTTGACACTGCCATCTTGCAGGTAACTTATTGTTTAGTGATAACTTAGCAAGGAATTTTGAACAGCTGTGTATTAACAACTTATGAAAACATTTACCAAAAGACCCAATCCCTTCTATATATTTTAAGCCAAGAGTACATGTATTTAGAAAAATCTATCTTTTACACTTAGCAATTCATTTTTTATTTTTTATGAGCATTTATCATTTATTGGAGAAAAAAAAAGTCATCCTACTGCAGAGTAGTTCTTGGTCTCTCTAGCTGCTACACGGCTTTATCTCTCTGTAGCCACTGTAAGTCAGAGATGCTCTTATCCCTGGCAGGAAAACCTGAGGTTCATTACCTCATGTCAAATTGGATAGGGTCCCCAAATCAGTAATCCATCCCATGATCACCTTGAGGAGATGATCTGGGTTGTGCATGGCACAAGCATCATGAGCCATCAGGGGTGGGATTCCCTTTGTACCCAGTCATCCTCCTCACCTTGCACAGCTTGTAGTTCAGTTTGTATACCACCTCCTGCTCATGTCTGCCACCACATGCCTTCTGCTGTGATGTAGTGATCAGCAAAATGGCCCCTTGGTGTCAAGGATGAGGCAGAAATGCTCACCTGTCTTCTTGATGCTAGCCAATGTTTGCTCCATCTCACATGTATCCATGAATGCAGCAAGGTATGCAACATCAGTTTTTGAACCTGGTTGCTGATTCTGATCAAGCACTGCATACAGTTCTTTACCTCCTCTCCAGTCACTGCATACTTGAGTCCATTTCTCAGGCAGATGATGAGAGGGAGACACCCTTAGGTTGCAAGGACATGATGATGCACAAGGTGCCACAGCAAAGTGCAGAGAAAGCAAAGACCACCAATTCATTTTGAGCACTTATACTTAGATTGCCTGAAAAACTAAAATATTAGATAAGTATGGTTATTCTTAGGTTATGATCTTGCCAAAGAACAACTTTAAAATTGAACTTCATAGAAAGCAAAGAACATTGCATCACTTTCATATATTGTTTGTGCTTAGCTGAAAATTATATTTTGATTTTAACACAAATAAGCACAACAAACTTTTAAACATACTACAGGTACATGTATATAAGGCATAGCATATGTTATGAGACAGAAAAATATAGAAATCGCTGCAACAGTTTTTAAATCTTTTAACTCCATTACCTGACAAATAATCAGGCCCTTATGGCTCACCACGTGGGTTGCCAATTCAACAGAAATGAATGTTGGCAAGAGGAAAAAGCTTATTTCTAGAAGCTGGCATCTTGGGGAAAGATATTTATCTTTTTTTTTTTAAAGATTTTATTCATTTGGGGCCCGGCGCCGGCACCCCATATGGGCACCGGGTTCTAGTCCCAGTTGCTCCTCTTCCAGTCCAACTCTCTGCTGTGGCCCAGGAGGGCAGTGGAGGATGGCCTAAGTGCTTGGGCCCTGCACCAGCATGGGAGACCAGGAGGAGGCACCTGGCTCCTGGCTTCAGATCAGCACAGTGCCAGCTGCAGCAGCCATTTGAGGGGTGAACCAATGGAAGAAAGACCTTTCTCTCTGTCTCTCTCTGTCTATAACTCTACTTGTCAAATAAATAACTAAGTAATATTTTATTCATTCATTTGAGAAACAGAGCCATGGAGAGAGGGAGAGCCAGAGAAAGGTCTTCTACCTGCTGGCCCACCCCCAAAATAGCCAAAATGGCCAGAGCTGGGCTGATTCAAAGCCAGGAGCCAGGAACCTCCCCAGCTGGGTGTTGGGCCCAAGCACCTGGAGCATCCTGCACTGCAGAAAGCCGAATCAGGAGAGAAGCCAACATGCACATGAAATGGTGCCCACAAGGGAAGACAGCACTACAGGTGAAGGCCTAGCTCTCTATGCCACAGCATGGCTCCAAGAGAAAGCTCTTGATGTAAAATGTTCTCTTTCTCCCAAAGAGTTTTTAAAGGACAAGGGTAGCTTCAGGGGGAAGTTAGAAATAATGAGTCACTTTAACCGCTGATATGTAGATGTTCAAGCTTTTTTCTGATGGAGACCTCTTAACCAGGGGAGTCAGCATCAGTTGGTTGGAGGATCCTTGTCAGTGGGGTCAAAAGTCCACCATTATGAGGCCAGCACCATGGCACTGTAGGTTAATCCTCTGCCTGTGGTGCTGGCATACCATATGGGTGCTGGTTCTAGGCCTGGCTGCTCCTCTTCCAATCCAACCCTCTGCTGTGGCCTGGGAGAGCAGTAGAGGATGGCTCAAGTCCTTAGGCCCCTGCACCTGCACGGGAGACCTGACTCCAGATCAGCACAGCTCTGGTAGTTGAATTACTCTGGTAGCTCCAGAGTAATTCAGGTAATTCAGAATATCAGTAAATGGTTTTTGCTATACAAAATGTGAAAAGGAAAAGGGAAGGAAGATGGTTTTATTATGGTTACAACTCCTTTTTAAAACTCCCAAAGAAAAATAAATAAAAGTTCTAATCAATTAAATATAATTACTTCTTGCTTTTAGTAACCTAAGTTAACCCTATTGTTCCACAGCTGAAGCCTGAAAAACTTACTTGAGCATTTAACTTGGAAAGCAACTCTAGTCCCAGTGATGGTACTGGACACTAACATACACAAAGATAATTATATCTTCATTTCAGGTTCAGTTGGCACTCTGCTCAAAAAACACCTTTTATCGTATTAATTCTTGTTCCTCACAGTCAATTTCATCAGAGGCATCTGTGGAAATTTACAACAGGTTGTTAAGAGATCAGGGAGCCAGGAAAGTGAGGGTTTAGTTCAGGTAGGAGAGAGGGGAAAGTCTGGAAACTAGGGCAGTGTCCATACCACTCAGAGAGCAGGCCAAAGCCACATGCAGCAAGCACCTCGAGCTGCTATCCACCACTTATCACCAGCAGCAATGCAGAAGCAGAGAGCGTTCGTTATTTAAGAGAGAGAAGTAAACATGGGTTCATACTGAGCACCAGGAACTAGCCGCATGGAGGAGCATCTAGGCCTGGAAGCCTAGGACGCAGAGCTACAGAAAGCCCCCTCCTGGCAAGAGGTCAAGGGAGAGAAGGGCCGGACACATCATGTCCTAGGAGTTTAACCCACTTCCAAAGGGGAGTGGTTAATTAACCTGATTGGCTGGTTGGCACCCAGGTGTGGCCAGGTAGGGGCATGACATCACACAGGGGCGAGGTGAAGGCGTGGCCTTCCAGCTCACAAACCTAATCAATTTTAACCTGCATGCCTGCCGACTTCAACTCTGACTTTCAAATGAAATAAATATTTTAAAAATCCACTTAACAGCCATCTTCTCTTAAATTTAACACATACACAGGCCATGCAGTATTACAATAGAACACCACTTTCTTCTTAGTAATAGGATTGTAACTGTAGCTGCTTAATCAGCCACAACACAACTCAAGGTGCTTTTGGATGGAAATTAAATTGAACCACTCGTATTTCACCCAATGAGTACTCTTCCAAACCATATCCAAATCTTCCTCACAGAGGGGCTGAGGCAAAAATCTTAGAATCTTGTCTCCCACATGAAGCAGGCAGGCATACAGGTTAAAATAGATTAGGTTTGTGAGCTAGAAGACCACGCCTTTGCCACGCCCTTGGTGGCCACATGCCCCTACCTGATGCCTTTGCCATGCCCCCGTGTGGCCTCATTCCCCTACCTGCCCACACCTGGGTGCCCACAAGCCAATCGGGTTAATTAACCACTCCCCTTTGGAAGTGGGTTAAAAGCCCAGCCATGATGTAGCCCTGCCTGCTCTTCTTCTCTGGCCTCTTGCCAGGACAGGGCTTGCTGTAGCCCTGCACCTCCAGAGCACAAGGCCTTCAGGCCATGTGTTCTAGGCTTCCAGGCCTAATGCTCACTCATGTGGCTGGTTCCTGGTGCTTGGTATGAACCCCTATTCACCTCTCTCCCCTAAATAAAGCTCTCACTCTCCTATGCATCTTTCTCACTAAATAAAAGCTTAAAACGTACCATGCTGCCTCGTTTATCTGTACCCGTATTTAGAATTCTTCTCTAAATATTAGGCAAGAACCCTCTTGGGCTTATTAATATCGAGGATTTAGTAATAAGCCCATGGTGAAATCATATGTCACCCCAAATTCCGGTAGCACATGTGGCACCCCAGATAGCATTTCTAGGGAACTTTAAGGGGCCACAATTTAGTATGGATTTTATGGGGTATTCTCCGATTTCACACAAACCAGTGTTAGAGTTGGATTGCTCTTGCCACCCCAAAAACGCTCCAAGAGACCTTCTCTCATGCAGTTAACAAAGGGTAAGGTTTATTGATGATCCGACATGTCGGGGCCCCCGTCCCAGTACAGGCGAGCGGCCCCAGATAGTCTTGGGTTGGGGTTTTTATACACGTTTAAACAAAGAAAATCAATCATTGCATAGATCAGACAGAGGTATAGAGTAAACAATTGATACAAGTTAAGTGATTTTACAACCAGTTGATTTATGAATACAGGGAGTACAGGATATGGAGTAAGGGCCTGATTAGACCTCAGAGAACCATATGGCCTATACAGAGAGTATCAAAAAGCCTCTTATTGCCAAAAGGGAGGGCCACACAACAAACACAACAAAGTTGCAGGAACTGCCTTGATGATACCTAGGAATGCAGCTGAATGGCGATAAGGGACACATGGTGGGGTCAGGGGTCCAGGAGGCAAAGAGATATATGGTGACTTCTTCTATCTTACTTAGGTGAAACTAAGGTTACGCTCACATTGGGGTAATTTACTGACTAATTAACTTTATAGAGAATGGCTATGCAGAGCAAGTCTAACGAGGTCAGGAAAGTTCACCAGAGGAGGTGGGGGGGGGGAGCGGCTTTTAACTTTTTAACCCTTCACCAGTGCCACAAAAAATGACCTAAGCCAGGTCCAAATTCCATGAACCCAAAGATCAGAGACAGAAATTTCAGTCTCAGAGCTGTTGACTCTGTACACAAATGGAAGCCATTATGCTAATAGGTAGCTAATGCGCAGAAGGAAGAGAAAAGAAAGTCCCGGAGAGAAAGTGCTCTCAGCAGCTGCTGGATGTCCCGAGTCCCAGCCAGCAGGTTAGCTCACAAGCAGCTCTGGGGAGGGAGTACAAGTGGCCATTGCCCTCCTTACCAGTGTGAGAGGGTCAGGCCACTGGAAGAATACACCCAGCTTCTGGATCGCTCACCAATGTGGTTATTGAGTGAACAATCCAGCTCTTGATGCTCGCCGCTTCAATTCACCAAAGATGAGGCCTGGCCAGAGGAAAAGGTTTATTGCAAGAAGGCAGCAACAGCCTTGGGGAAAGAAAAAGAAGTTTCTCTCAATCCAAACACCCAGTACAGAGGATTTTTAAAGAGACAGGGTAATTGGAGGGTGAGGATTCAAATAAAACAATGAGTCTATTCAATTGACAATTATGCAGATTTTCAGGCTTTGTTCTGAGGCACAGCCCACTACCCAGTCAGAGGAGGCCAGGGTGTCACCCCAGGGGCTTTCTGCCTCAGTTGTTGGGGGGGGTGTTCTTTGTCACTTGGGGCAAAAGCCTGACATTCCTAATCATCTCCTTTTTTCAGATGGCTTCTGAAATTCTTATGCAAATATTATTCACTAGATTACAGCAACAGAGGGTGCCTTCATTAAGGTAAACATTTGAAAAGGAAAAATGCATTTATTGTGGTTACAGGATTACCATTCTGTTGGAGGAGGGTATTTGAGGGCTTATAAAGAGGTTTTAAGGAAGGGTGTGCTGGTGTAAGGACTAGATGACCTAATGGGGAGTCCTTTTAACAGTGGGCAAAGACACTTGCTTCTCCCCAGAACCTGTGTATTAGCAAGACAGAAGTGGACTGCCCACTCCTCTGAGTTTCTAGTTTTATCATGAGAATAGAAGGGAAGTTAACAATCCCACCCTTCTAACCTGGTTTTACCACGAGAATTTGCCTATTGGATAGTTCCCAAGGTTTTTTGTTTTAACAAGAGCAGGCTAGACAAGATTATGATTCTGTCCCTCTGATAGATTGTTAGCTGTTATTATTCTGCTCATCCAAACTGCAGTTAAAAAACTCCACTCCATTTTTCAGGTTTCCCTCTCTTGGAGACCCCCTAGTGGCTGCTGTGGCAAGAGGTTTCTCATGTAAATAAATCTGGCTTTGCTCACTGCCTGTCCACATGGAAATTCCTTGTGAGACATGCACCCTAGGCACCTTCCTTCATCACCATTTTCCTCCATTACTTTGGTGTGGTGAAGTCATGGAAGAGTTGACGGTCTCTGGTTTCAGATATCATGGCTTGTTGCTAGATCGATGACAAGGCTTAAGTTCTCTGATTCCTCCTGGTGGTCCTCAAACCTTCCAGCACCTGTGTCCTTCAGCTCTACCTCAGCCTAATGGTAGAACAGAGACCTGGGGCTCCCCTGCTCTCTTAAAAACCTACTGTAAATTTCCACAGATGCCCCTATGAAGTTGACTGTGAGGAGAAGACTTAATAATCACTGGGATTTCTAAGGGTTGGGTGTCTGGGTGTCTACTTCTCACTGTTTCTACACACACGCACACACACACACACACCAGTCATGGACAAAATATTTCCCAGGTGCAAAATTAGGTAATGTTATCAGACTCAGTAACCTCCTTTGCACCAAGCAAACAGGTTTCTCCTGGTGTGCCTTTATTGGAGGGGCAGGGTTTTGTAGTGTAAAGTACTGGGTTGCTTTCCTAGGCCTGCTTCTAAGGCTGCTGCATTCCTTCTGCAGAGCACATGTTTTGTTTCCCATGACTGCTTTCACACACATAGGCTAATTTCTATCTTCCTGTCTAAAAATATTATTAAGAGCATGAAAATATTTTTTTTAATTTATTTGATAGATAGAGTTAGTGAGAAAGACAGAGAAAAAGGTCTTCCTTCTGTTGGTTCACCCCCCAAATGGCCGCTATGGCTGGAGCTATGCCGATCCAAAGCCAGGAGCCAGGTGCTTCCTCCTGGTCTCCCATGTGGGTGCAGGGGCGCAAGCACCTGGACCATCCTCCATTGCCTTCCTGGTCCACAGCAGAGATCTGGACTGGAAGAGGAGCAACCTGGACTAGAACCCAGCACCCATATGGGATGCCGGCAGGTGGAGGATTAGCCAAATGAGCCATGACACCTGCCCCATGAAAACCTTGAATAGAAAAATACCCTTAGAAACAAAAGCTGAAGGAATTGTCTGATTACATGAAAAAAATTAAACACATTAAGAAAAGACAGAAGAATCAAGTATCCTATGACCTTAGGCTTCTAAGATAAACAGTTTTAATGTTAGGTCACAAGAGTCAGAACCAAGGAGGAAGAAATAACTTGCAGGAGATGCCTAGAAATTTGACAAAGAAAATCACCAATTAAGTAGAAACTACTAAAAGGAGAAACAGCATTAAAAATAGATTTCAAAATGAAACAGCAAGATTATTACAAATATGTATGTTACCGGAGGGAAGGCCATGGAAGCTGTGGGGTTCTTGTCTTCACACAAGAAAGAATTCAGGTGTGAGACAGAGGGCAGAGTGCTAAGGCTTTATTGGGGATAGGGCATCCGTCAGTACAGAAGGGACAGAAAGAGCGCCCAGTTGCTCGGACTGGGGAGAGTGAGGTTACATGGTTGAGTGGAAAGAATACACCTGGGCAGGCCAGGTGGGTGGCTCAGCAGAGAGGCAGAGGGCAGAGCTCGCAGTCTGCTTAGACTCCCTAGGTTTTTAAGGGAGTCTGTTTACCCTCCTCCCCCTCTCCTCCAGGACAAAGGATGGAGAGTCCAGGTGGAAGGGTTTGTTGGGTGAAAATTAGCAAATTCCTCCCCAGATTTGCTGGCAAAGTAAGGAGGCTTCCCTTAGGGCATCTGAGGAGGTTTTATTGCCCCATGTAATCAAGTAACCCATTTGGTCCTGAGCAGAGAGAATTCCCCTGGGAGCTTTCCTAGGGGAGGGGGGGAAGGGCTGGTACCCCCAGGGAGGTTATCAGGGTCTGGGGTCTGAGCAGGACTTTGAAGTGCAAGTTGCTGGGCTTCCAGAGTTTCCACAGTAGGTGCTGGTCTTCAGGCCTGCCTCACAAACACATAGGCTAAATTCCTGACTTCCTAACATTTATATGCTTTGAATAACCTTATTGCTTTCGCATAGTGAAAAATCCATAGTTCTGTTTCTTTGAACTTTCATAAATGCTACCAAAGGCAATCTAGATGAGCCCTTGCAAGAGACTTCCTCCCTAGAGACCCCATTTCAAATCCTAAAGGCTCTTCTACAAGCACCTGCCTTGAGTCTTCCTAACCCACTTAAACTGTTCTTCACTCTACCCTTCTCCAGCCTGTTAGGGTCGAAATGCGTCCACCACCCGAGGAACAACTCCAAGAGACACTCTCATGCAAACAGCAGGGGGTTTATTGAACCAGCATGCTGGGGCTCCCTGAACACGCATGAACAGAGAAGCCCTGAGAAGTCAAGGGCCAGGGTTTTTATAGGGTTTTTAGAGACATTTTACATCACAGCAAATCATCTCATTCGGCGGGAAATTCAAAGGACATCTCCTAGATTTGATTGGCACATCCAGTGGCGGGAACGGACCCACTAAGGTGGTTGGATGGCTCTTGGGGTTGATGCCCTTTGAATTGAAGCATAGGGTCTGGGCCATTGGAGTGTACGTGCCAAACTGCAGGGTCTCACACAAGGTCACACAAGATCACGGGAAGGTTTGTGGCTTATCTAGGAACTCAGGGACAGGGAACTGGTCAGGTGAGACAAGATACAGGAAAGGGGTAGGCAGGGGCTCTGCACAGCTGGGTGGGTGAGGCAAAGGCCACATAGTTTTGGTCCCTTATCTTTACAGCTGCACCTAATTTCAGCTTTGGGGGAAAAAAGTTTAGGGCTGTAATTTTAAACTTAATTTTTCACATCCCACTGTTACTTTTCATCCCTGCTCTTCTCTCAACCCAGCTACTCTCCTCCCCACTTCTCTCATCCCCTCAAACCCTATTCCTGTCCTCACTTCCTTGATTTTTCCTGACTACATTTCATCACCTCAGACACTCCTATTCCCAGAGCCCTGGATTGGGTCATTGATGGTAGTGCTTCTAAAGCTCCCCCTTTTCCCACTGGATATGCAATAATTGAGGGGCATCGTGATGTCACCTCCTCCTCTTCCCTGTATAGGGTCATAGAGGCTGGGCCCCTACCTCAAGGCACTACCTCCCAACAGGCCGAGTTGTTAGCCTTGGTTCAAGCCTTCACCTTAGCCAAAGGAAAGACAGTCAATATACATACAGATTTCCGATATGCCTATAACATTATGCATTCCAATGCCCAGATATGGCAAGCCCGAGGGACCCCTATAATAAATGGCAAGCTGATTAAAACTCTACTTGATGCTGCTCAGCTGCCAACAAAAGCTGCTATTATTCACTGGAAAGGACACCAGAAAGGTAAACAATCCCTATCTGAAGCTAATAACAAGGCTGAACTGACAGCTAACACAATGGCTCCTGGGGAGAGGATCCCATCTTTTCTCTGTAACTTAGCTCCTGTGTATTCAGACCTAGAAATCTCTCAGTTTCAACAACAAGGGGAATCTAGAAAGGACTCATGGTGGTTTCTAGATGAAAAACTAATACTCCCTTCTTCTCTCCAAGTTACCTTTCTAAAGAACCTCCATTCTCTCTATCACTCAAACTCAAACTCTCTTCTTCACTTCCTGAGATCACATATACACCTAACTCCTGCCATAAGAGAAACTCTGCATAACATATCTCAGACTTGTAGCCCCTGTCAAACTGCTAACCCCAATTCTAATATCAGGCCACCCCATTCCCCACTCACCAGGCCCATGGATCACTCCCAGGAGAGGACTGGCAGATTGACTTCACCCATATGCCACCAGTTAGGCAAACACGGTACCTTCTGGTGATGGTGGACACCTTCCTGGGGTGGGTGGAAGCTTCCCCTACTACTAACAAAAGAGCTTCCACCATTTCCACTGTATTATTAAATGATATTAACCCAAGATTTGGATTGCCTGCTTCCATCAGTCAGACAATGCACCAGAGTTTACCTCTAAAATGACTCAAATAGTATCTGCCTCTCTTCATAGCTCATGGCATTTTCAGATTCCCTATTGTCCCCCCTCCTCAGGAAAAAGTAGAATGGATGAATGGAATTTTAGAACAGGCTCTAACTAAACTCTAACTCTCCACCCAGGTTTAGTTGGACTGGGTAAAACTCCTCCCTTTAGCTCTGTTAAGAATCAGATCTCTTCCCCAGAAGCCCTTAATGCTTAGCCCATTTGAAATTCCCTATGGAAGGCCTCTCCTTCCACCTAGCTTCCCTCCCCTACAGAGCTCTGAAGCTATTCCTCCTCCTCTCAATTTCTCTCTTCTTACTGAAATGTGCTCTGACTTATGGATATATGCAGACACACATCTACCCAAACCACACTCTCTGCCTCCTGACTATATCCCTACCTTTCCACCTGGTGACTGGATTTCTCTAAAACAAAATGAGGCTGCTCTAAAACCAAAGTGGAGCAGGCCCTACCAGGTGATATTGACTACCACCACTACAGCCAAACTCAAAGGGCACCCTCCCTGGGTGCATTTTACTTCGTTAAAACTAGTTACATCTCCCTCATATAAGTCCACCCCAACAGGACCCACCTCTCAGCTCGACACGCTAACGTGAGGCATTTACAAGGTAACTCTGCCTCATTTTGGCCATTGTTTCCACCATGGGCCATGGCTCTAGTGTCTCCTTTTGCCCTCATAATCATAGTGCTCCTATTTCTGCCATGCATAATTAACCCATTCCAAAGGTTCTTGCAGGAACAAATAACTGCTATATCTCAAGCCAACTCACAGGAGCAACGCAAGGCTGCTCTTCCTCTTCAATCAATCCTATCCCAAATATAGGTCACTGCTCAAGTCCTGGCTCCATGTCTAAGCCCCCTATCAGCAGGAAGTAGCCAGAGAGAAATCGGCACCCCTCTCCTTATCTATACTCAGAGTCAGGATTGATGGAACAATGACATAAGCCTCAGCCATTCTCCCTCATTGCCCAAAATAGGTAAACACTGGAATGTATTCCTTGCCCTTGAAACTCAACTGGATTTCACACCCTATTGCCTTCATACCCCACCCCTTACAGCCACCTGAAAGACCAGTTGCTCTGAACACCTGAAAGACCAGTTCCAGGAATTCCCCTCTGCCTGCTGGCCCCTACCCAAAATATAAAAAGGCCCAGCCCCTGGGGTTGGGGACTTCTGCCCTGTGCTCCACTAGTGTGCATGTGGGCAGTTGATCACCCACCTCTACAGACTTATTTTCTCTGAATAAATGCAGTCTGTCTGTAAATTTGTACACTGCCCCCTCTCTATTCTGCACCTCTTTCCCTAACATTTTGGTGCCCTGTGTGGGGAAGCAAAAATCTGCAACTCTTTTCCTAACAATTACCAATGCTCAATTTTGAGAAACTCATAGAATTAATTTCCTTCTAATCTAGCCAAAGTAATCTCACACAAAATTATCTGCTACAAATCTGTAACATTCTTATATTACCTAAGTTATTTATTCTGTTTTGTTCCTCTCTCTCCTTGCCAAACACCAGTTTTATTTCAGGTTAGACAAAGATCACTTGCTTTCTTTGTTATTCAAAACACATCTTGAGTACCAAGACACATTCTCATTCTCACGTTTATAGCTTCCTTAACATTTTTCTCTCCCCTATCTATTGGTTCCTTAATTTGCAATTTAAAATGATCCTAAAAAGCCTCTAAAATAAGAACAAAGCATTTTAATGAAACATAAAATTTCAAATTATTTTAAAGTAGTTAAATCCAAAAGTCCATTGTCTTTTACAACTTTTACAAGACCAACAGTACAAAAGTTTGAAAACATTTCTTTTATGTTTTTTATTATTATTATTATATACTTATTATTAACAATTACAGATTTTTTAAGAAACTAAAATATTAGACTAGTATGGTTATAATCTTGAGTCATGTTTTGCCAAAGAACAACTCGAGGAGTTAAATTTTACTTCAAACAGGAATTAATGAACATTGTGTTATGCCACTAACCTGCATCATTTTTTCTTGTCAAAATTGAGCTTTTATGACTTTGAGTATCCAAAAAAGTAAGTATAACTTTTGCTTGACCAGCAAATCCAGGCACAAAACATGTCAGTAACCCTGAAAATATTTTAATTTATATCTATCAACAAAGTTAAAACAACCTATCAGATACTTACTTAGGTCACATGAATCAAAAGATATTTGAGGCCGGCACCACTGCTCACTAGGCTAATCATCCTCCTGCGGCGCCGGCACCCCAGGTTCTAGTCCTGGTCGGAGTGCCGGATTCTGTCCCAGATGCTCCTTTTCCAGTTCAGCTCTCTGCTGTGGCCCTGGAAGTGCAGTGGAGGATGGCCCAAGTGCTTGGGCCCTGCACCCGCATGGGAGACCAAGAGGAAGCGCCTGGCTCCTGGCTTCGGATCTGTGCAGTGCTGGCTGCAGCGGCCACTGTGGGATGAACCAACAGAAAAAGGAAGACCTTTCTCTGTCTCTAACTCTTCCTCTCAAAAAAAAAAAAAGATATTTGGGTTAATTAAATAGTTTTAATTTATGTGAACACTCATTTGCCTATGTCAGTTAAAACAAAGCTCTTAAGGAATTTTTTACCATTCAGACATAATATACAATATACAACATAATATACAATATACAACAAATACACACATATATATAGCATATATCATGAGAAGGAATAATGTCATTTTGAAATCAGACACGACCCCCTAAATTCCACACTGAAATGTGGGCCTTAAGTTTCCCAGAAGTGCTATCTGGGTGCCACATGTGTTACCAGAATTTGGGGTGCCACATGATTTCACCATGAACTTATTAATCCCCAATATTAATAAGCCCAAGAGGGTTCTTGCCTAATATTTAGAGAAGAATTCTAAATACCGGCACAGATTAACGAAGCAGCATGGTATGTTTTAGGCTTTTATTTAGTGCGAGAGGTATCTAGGAAAGTGAGGGTTTAGTTCTGGTAGGAGAGGGAGGAAAGTCTAGAAACCAGGGTAGCATCCATACCAAGCAGGGAACAGACAAAAGCCACGTGCAGCAAGCACCTCAAGCTGCTATTCACTGCTTACCACTGGCAGCAAAGCAGAGGCTGAGAGTTAGGTAAATATGGTTCATACTGAGCACCAGGAACCAGCCACATGGAGGAGCATCTAGGCCAGGAAGCCTAAAGCACATGGCCTGAGGGCACATGTCCTGGAGGCACAGGGCTACAGCAAGCCCGTCCTGGCAGGAGACCAGGCAAGAAAAGAAGGCCCAGACACACTGTGTCCCAGGCTTTTAACCCACTTCCAAAGGGGAGTGGTTAATTAACCTGATTGGCTGGTTGGCACCCAGGTGTGGCTAGGTAGGGGGATGAGGTCACACAGGGGTGTGGTGAAGGTATCAGGTAGGGGCATGACATCACACAGGGGCATGGCGAAGACATGGTCTTCCAGTTCACTAGTCAATTTTAGCCTGTATGCCTGCCTACTTCATCGCCCCTTTATAAAATATTTAACTCCTTTTGAAAATTATCGACATAACAGAATTCTTTCAATAATTTAATTAACCATAATTTTTTTCTCAATTGGGACTGGCAGGAATAAAATCTTAACATAAGCATTTAGTTTGGAAAATAACTCTAGTCCCAGTAAAAGAGTTGAACATCTACACATGAAAAGAAAATTGTATCTTCAGTTCAGATTCAGTTAGCACCTTAATAAAGAAATATTTTGTAGTGCATTATTTTTCTGATTCTTGTTCCCTGCTTTCAATTGCACCAGGGGCTTCTGTGGGAGTTACAACTGGCTTTAAAGGACCAACGGGACCTCATGGGCCTCCTCATTCTTTAGAATGCAATGCAAACAAATCCATGCATTATCACAATTTTTCTTAGTTATGAGGCCAGAAATATTGGCTGTCCTTATCAGCTCAGAGGGATTTGGATGGAATTAACATCTGATTACCTGTATTTTACCCAAGATAAACAAATTTTTACTCAGTGACTCTTCCAAACAAAATTTCCCTTGTGGAGGGACTGACTGATCAAAGAGTCTTAAAATATCATCTCCCCAGGGCCGGTGCTGTGGCGTACTAGGCTAAAGCCTCTGCCTGAGGTGCCAACCTCCCATCTTAGAGCTGGTGTCCCTTACGGGTGCCAGTTCTGTTCCCGGCTGCTCCTCTTCTGCTGCAGCTCTCTGCTATGGCCTGAGAAAGCAGTAGAAGATGGACCAAGTAGTTGGCCTCTGTGCCCATGTGGGAGACCTGGAAGAAGCTCCTAGCTTCAGATCAGCCCATCTCTGGCTGTTGCAACCATTTGAGAAGTGAACCAGTGGATGTAAGACCTTTCTCTTTGTCTCTCCCTCTCTCTGTCTATAACCCTACCTCTCAAATAAATAAATAAAAATCTTTAAAAAAAAAATCTACCACCAGTTGGTACTGGAACAAATGACCTAAGCCAGGTCCAAATGGCATGAAGCCCAAATGTCAGAGGAAGAGGATTCCCAGTGGATATCATGTTTAAGCAGTCTTGGAGCCTCAACTCCCCAGCAAACACCATTTCTTTGTGTCAACAGATATTCGGAGGAAGCTAATGCCAAGGCAGGGATAAAAGGGAGAGTCCCCCAGAAAGGATGCTTGGCCTCAGCTGGGGCTGTCTCTGAAATCCCTGCCCAAGGTCTGCTCATAACCAGCAGCCACAGTTGAGAGCTGACACAGGGAGACAGCCTCACCCCCCTAGGAAGAGCTGTGCTAAGAGGACTGGGTTGTGGACTTGGTGACCTGCTTTCTAACTGAGGGGAATTCTGTGATCCAGGAGGAGAAAGAAGGGACAGGGGTCCCAAAACTCACAGCTTCTCCCCCCAATGCTGTGTATGAAGTCTGGATTCTCCCTGAGGACCCATGAATCCTAACCACACAATTTGGAAAAATACAGAGCTCTAGGGCTAAGCCAGTCACCACATTCAGGAATGAAACAAGATATCCAGGGTCCCATGCCAGCTGCCAGCCCAGCTGCCATCCTGCAAGAGGGAGGCACCTGGCCCCCACACACTCACCTCATTCCAGATTCTGAGCTGCCCAGGCATCCTTCCAAGGGCTCTTGTACTGAGAGAAGTGCACAGAGAGGCAAGGACTGAGCATCGTGGCACCTGCATGAGCAGCAGACTGGAGAAGCTGTTTAGCAGCATACAGAAAAAGACCTCGCCTCGCTCTTCATTATTGCTCCTGTGCGTCTGATTGGACAGCTTGCTGAGCCAGTGAGCAGGCAGCAATCAGATGATGCAGCCAATCAGAGTCACAGCTGCCAGATTTCCCCAAGGGGTTGGGGGGAGGGGTGCAGTTCATCCAGGTTGTGGCTGGTGGGGGAAGTGAGGGTTGAGTGTTGGGCTCAGGTCTGGTGGTGCTCATGGGGGCCTAGCTATCCTAAGAGCCAGGGCTGCTGTCACCTTCCTGCTGACCCAACCATACAAGATTGGAGACACTCCATCCACTGTGATCCTGCTGGGATCTTAGGACCTGGAGCTTCCAATAACCTCCTTTACAAGGGATGCAATTCACTCACAATTTACTGAATGCGGAGCTTTTCATCCTCTTCATGTTGTTGGCTTAATTGTCTTTTAGGTTTTTCATTTTGGTTTTTTCAATGATTAGAAAATATTTGTTGGCTCCGCGGCTCACTAGGCCTGCGGCACTGGTACTCCGGGTTCTAGTCCTGGTTGGGGCACCGGTTCTGTCCTGGTTGCTCCTCTTCCAGTCCAGCTCTCTGCTGTGGCCCGGGAAGGCAGTGGAGGATGGCCCAAGTGCTTGGGCCGTACACCCACATGGGAGACCAGGAGGAGGCACCTGGCTCCTGGCTTCAGATCTGCTGCTCCCTTGCCTGCAAAGGAACAACACTGTTCGCAGCTTATCGGTCTTCAGCAGACTTTTAATGAGAAAATAACAGTGACAGAGAAAGAATGAAGGGAAGAGAGTGGACAGGAAAGCCCCCTCCTTCCTCAGCACACAGCTTATATACAAAATCTGGCCAATTGCAAGTGGGCTCAAGTCCATGCACGGAACACTCCAATCCGCTGTCTGTTCACGCAGTGTGCACGCATCCTTGGGCCAATCAGATGAGGTGTCACGCAGCAGGCAGGCTCACTGCGTGGTCCTCGGCGCCATCTTGTTGTTTACGAGGCAGGCTCAGTGCCTCTGGAAAGTCCTGACCGTGGGAAAGCATTGCCCTAACCGAAACTAGCAACATCCACCTTGTGATAAAGACACAGCAACAGCTATCAGACTGACCTTGACGTGGGGGCTCCATGGCTGCGCATCCCATGGAGCCCCACAGGATCAGTGCAGCACACCGGCCGTGGCAGCCATTTGGGGGGTGAACCAACAGAAGGAAGACATTCTCTCTGTCTCTCTCTCACTAAATCTGCCTGTAAAAAGGAAGGAAGGAAGGAAGGAAGGAAGGAAGGAAGGAAGGAAGGAAGGAAGGAAGGAAGGATCTAAAAGTATTCTTTTTAAATTTTTTTTGACAGGCAGAGTGGACAGTGAGAGAGAGAAAAAAGTCTTCCTTTGCCGTTCTTTCTTCACCTTCCACTGCAGTTTAGTTCACAGTGCAAATATGGAATAGGAAATAATCCGCAAGAACATGAACATAAAACTCACTTGCTGGGACTGGCATTGTGGTACAGCACATTAAACTATCACTTATGATGCCTGCATCTCCTATCAGAGTGCCAACTTGAATCCTAGCTGTGTTCTTTCTGATCCAATCTCCTAACCTGTGTCTAGGAATTAGCAGATAATGGCCTGATTACTTGACTCCTTGCCACCCACATGAAATACTCAGATGGGGTTCCTGACTCCTGGCTTCAGTCTGGCCCAGGCCCAACTGTTGAAGCCATTTAGGGGAGAGAACCAGTGAATGGAAATCTCTCTCTCTCTCTTTATTCCTCCCCTATGTATGTGTATCTCCCTTCTCACTCTGCCTTTCAGCAAAATAAATAAAATATCTCCCTTCAGGATCAAGCATCTGGGGGATACTACACTTTAGAAAGAAATGGATTGACTTGTTCAGAGTACTCAAAGCAGTTTCTTTATATCCCAGTTCTTTCTCTGTACATATTTATGTTTTTATAGTACTGATTATGGCACCAGTGTGAGTTTTCATTCATTTTCTCATATCTAGTGTGTGACCTATTAAAAAGCAGCCTTCCTGATTGTGTGTCTTTTTGCTGCTCCATCCCAAATACTTAGAACAGTGTCTAGTGCCTGACATGTGAAGATCATTTGTTGAATGAACAAACTGAACTATTTACTAAATGTTAATGAAGGAGCTTATGTTCAATCAGTCCATTTATAAAATAAAGCTCAGCCGACTATGAAATGTTTATATTGTACATAAAATATATATGAATTTGCAATCTGCCTTTGAACTCGGTCATAAGCATCAGCATCCTGGTCTCCTTAATTTGTTGTAGGCAGTAAGAAGACTTCTGTTTGCTCTGTTTAAAGATCCCCATGGTTCTCAGTGTTCAGAGAGCTTTTCTGCTGGTGACCTTCCATGTCCACCTGGTTTCTCTTTGTACCAAGCCTGGACTTGAGGATTGTGATTGTGGCTATGGATCCCAGCTCAAAACTCAAAATGTACCCACTGAAATATTTTCTGATTTCTTTTTTGATTTCCTCTTCAAGCCAATGGCTGTTTGACACTGTGTGGATTGACATCCACATATGTGTGACTTTTCCCATTTTTCTGGAGTTGATTTCTATTTTAATTCCATTGGTGTGGGGAGCAACTCGGACTATACTGTTACTGGAATTAAGACTTATTCTATGCATCTGCTCTCCCACAATATGGCGCTGGGAGAGAAGAAAACAGCTTCTACACAGCTGCCTCCAGTTCAGCCAATAAACTGTAGGACTTGCTCCTGATTGGAGGAGAGCAGCGTACTCGGTGTGTGGGCAGCCGAGTTGGGATTGGCAGAGGAGGACTATAAAGGAGGAGAGAGACGGCATGCACCAGGAACATCTAAGGGGAACACCTGTGCAGCCCCCGAGAGAGCCGGCCGGCGGTGTGCCGCTCCCCTGCGGAAGTGGGGAAAGTGGCCAGGGGGAACCGCCCTTCCACGGAGGTGGAAGGGACAGTAGCCAACCCGGGAAGAACCAGCAGCAAACCCGGGGAGGGCCGAGCAGACGAAAGAACAGTGCAGGGTTTAGTATCGTTCCTCCACGAAGAGGGGGAGTGACATAATGGTGCCGTGACTCGGATAGGAAACCTAGGAGGGAAAAACCGGGAAGAAGTGGGAAAATACCGGAGAGAGAGACTAGCAAAGAGCCTAGGGGACCTCCTCGCAGCTTTTCCTCTAAGCAAGGGAAACGAGGGGGGAGGAAAATTCATGCATTCGTAAGAGCAGTCGTAGAGACGTCCCCCTGGTTTCTACAGCAGTGGAGGCAGGTGGGACGGAAATTACGCGAGGCTGGGGAATCGATAGAAGTGCTGAAGCTGTGGCAGCTCGTTGATCAGGTGCTTCAGGACCCCACGGAAGGGATCGAGTTGTTGCTTAATGAGGGGAGTGAATTGCAGGAGGAATTATGGCAGGGTAGCCAGGTGAGCAGCTATTGTAACGAACAAATGAGAAGAAAATCAAAGAAGGATTTAGAGAGCCAGGAAGCTTATGGGGGGGAGAAGGAAGCTGAGGAGGGAACCTCGCCCCCGAGAGAGATGCCAAGAATATATCCTGGCCATACAAGGCTGGCAAATTCAACCATAAAGGATGAATCACCACCCCGGTATCGCCCATTGGTACTACCAAAGTTTCCTCCTGTAAAGAAAAGCCCCTTTTTTCCACATGAGATTGAAGAAGAGTGGGAGGAAGAAGGAGTGATGGAGGGAGTAGGTATGCAGGAGGAGATAGAAAGGCCAAGAACCAAAAACAAGCAAAGGGGAGCTGTTTATAGAAAACCTGCTTGGGAGCAGTACCAGGAACCAGGCCAGGTGTTTCCTGTACTTCAGGATCAACAGGGAAACAGGGGTTGGACGCCTCTTGACCATAAATTACTTAAAGAGTTGCAACAATCAGTACAATTGTATGGGCCCCATGCAAGTTTCACTCAGGCAATCCTTGATAACATTGGGCAGCAAGGCCTAATACCCGAGGATTGGAGAAACTTAGTACAGGCGGTGTTAGGCGGGGGTGACTTCCTCTTATGGTTAGCTGCTTATAAAGAATTTGCGCGAGAATATTCAAAGCAGAACTATCAAGCAGGGAATCAAGCATGGGATGAGGAAATGTTAAATGGAGAAGGGCGATTTGCCAATCCCGATGAGCAGGCCCGATTACCAACAGCTGTCCTCTTACAAGTGAGAGAGATAGCAAGAAGAGCCTGGAAGGTGATACCCAGAAAAGGAGAAGTAAGACACAGCCTAAGATAGTACAGGGCCCTACCGAACCTTACGCTGACTTCGTGAACAGATTAATGGAAGCAGCAGGAAACATTTTTGAAACTGTGGAAGAAGCAATGCCCTTAGTCAGAAGATTGGCGTATGA